GCTGTGCAGCTCAGTGCAATCTCACATCATGCCCACCAGCTCGCTCAGACTAGGTTGGGTTACTGTGCTTGTACCCTTTGGGTGATGAGTCAACACCAAAACCCAGAAATATACCTGTGGAGGAGGTATCACAGACAATTTCACACAAAACCATCTTTGGCATGCAAAACTGTTAAAAGCCCTCATCAAACTGATGCCATGTCCTGAATGCACGAGCCAGGATGTGATATTTGGACACAGTCTGTGTTTGCAGAGCTCACAGTTTTAAACCAAGAATGTTTCAGTTGCTGAATGTCTGGAGTTCATTCCAATCCTGGACAGCATTAGTTAGGAATGGACTTAGCACAAAACAGAAGATTTTTCAACACAGGAAAACATGAGTTATGAGTCAGCTTTTACTACAGAAAATGGGAAAATACATTCAAAATAAGATTTTAATTAATTTTGGCTCCTAACGGAGATTTTTTTGAAACTGGCACAATGCAAACTAACCCCATTCCATTGCACTTTATAGCATTTTATTTACCTATTTTCATCATGGCTCATGAGCTGAACCCACTGCTCTGTTTCATCATTGCTGCTCGTTAGACTCCACACATTACATGAGCTATGAGCAGAACTTGCAGCAGTAGTCAAATTATTGGAAAAGGTCCCACAAAATGAAAAGTTGCATCAGATGAAAATGTGATTGCTAACTGGATAATTCTGCAATAAAACAGTACTTTATTGTTTGATGTTTAAACAACCAGAATTTCCAATATTATATGTGGTAAATTATTTGTACATAGGATGAACTTAGATTTAAAAATCCATTCATTTTTACAACCTCCACCATCTAGATTCTACAAACTCATAAAGAATCTTCAGTAATTAAAAATGGAAATACACAGAGAAAGATGTAAACACATGAAATTTTATCTCCACACTTTATCTCCACATATAGCATTTGAAGTTTCTCTGAACTATTTTTTATTGAGCTGATAGATTCACTGTACAAAAAGAAAACCTGACCGATATGATTCCTTTCCAAGTTCTGGACATTACATTACATAGCTCTAAGAACAGGACTCTACATTTATTTGACTGTAAGTCCACAGCACTATTTGCCTTAAGTAAATTGTTAATATGATTATAGCACATATATGAAAATATAACACACCTAGAAATTAATAGCAAATCACCAATCAATGTACAATGAGTACAATGCACTCCATCTTAAGACTGTTTCAAAAGGAAAAAACAAAAACAATAATGCATTAAATTACATTAAAAAAAAAAAAACCCAAAAAAAAAAAAAAAAACCCAAAACCAAACCAGCCTGAATCAGGCCTATAGAACACTACTGAGAAGTTTCAACATTAATAATTCTTTCCATAATCTAGGAGATTATCAGCAATGTTATTAATACCCTGAGTCAACTGATGTTTTGATTTATGGGTAGGAAAAACACCTGGTTTTGGAAGTGAAATAATTTCCTATGATACTGCGGCTAATTATATCACTTTACTTTTGAGTTTATAACTCTACATTACATTTTAAAGTTTGTATTTACTTTTTCTCATTCTGTCTGGCACAGAACTTTCTTCCCTCTGCAATTAACTTTAGCAAAAGTTTTGGAGGTAGGAAAAAAAAAAGTAATCTTTACTAGAATGGAAGGCAGAATCAATAGAAAAAGCATAAAATGCCAAACTTGGTGATGAGTCATTGGAATTAGCAAAACTTGCTCTAACACTGTTGAGGAAGATGTGCCCAAGAAAAACTCAGTATATTTTTTACTGTGATTTGCAGTACATTGGACATCAGTCTCCATCACTGAGTGACCAATTAATCTTGTATTTCAAAAATGTAAAGTTATGCTCTTTAACTGAGTTTCTGTGTATGTTTCAGTGAACTTGTTCAGGAAAGAAGAATGATCTAGAATAACTAATTTGAAATTTATAAACACAGTGATCACAGCTGAGAGGTCAAATCTATAAGAATAGTATTTATAAGCACTGCTGCTATGGATATGCTTCTGTGGAATAATGAAATGAAATCCTATTGAAGTGTTCATCCTATTTCACAAACTGAAGCACAAATGCTGTCAGCTGATGCTTAGGTCAGTACCAACAAAATCACTTATCCAATGTTAGAAAAAATAAACAGTACAAAAATAGACAACTAATTACTTTATTTAGATAGCAGAAAGGATATAGAGATCTAAAAAAGAAACAACTGTTTTATTCTATCATGCTTCTACCTTTGGTACTAAAAATAGTACTATATCCATACAAAGTAAGGTTGTAAACATTATTTTATTTCATTTTTCATGAAAAGTATCACAAATTATTAACCATTTTAGGAAATCAGCTCTTCAGTTATTAAGGAGAATTTTACTCATGTACGTTCAGGCATTTTACTCAAGTACAGAAAACAGTAAAACGCCTGATAGGAAATTGCTTTTTTTTTTTTTTAATCAGGTAAATTATTTACCTGATAGGAAATTGCTTTTTTTTAATCAGGTAAATTATTTATTTTCTAATGTTACTGCACAATAAAGCCTTTTTTATTTTTTAAAATTCAGTATATTTGCTTGAAGCAATAATGAATCTCACTGCTTAACTAAAAGCCACTCTTAAAGCCAGCCAATCTGTTTCACTGTTATTAGTACCTTGTGTAATGAAAGACCATTGGTGATTTATCTACATTATGAATATACAGATTTTCAGAACAAAACTTAGTTTTAGATAAATCTGCACCAGTCTCGTCTCTCCATCTTGTATAACACTTCTTCTCATTATATTAAACCTTTTAAAGATATTCTATTTATGTAAGTACATCTGCATTTTGGTATGCGTGTCTGTGTATCAATATATTGTATAAATGGAGAGAGAATGCACATAATTATAGAACACTTCTTATTTTCCCTTAAATAATATTGCTAGATTGTTTTCTCTTACATTAAAACACTAGAATCTTAAACTGGAAATATTGCCTCAATGTCACCTGTGAGATAAATTTAGACATGTTCTCTTACTTAATTTCCAGTTACATATAATACTAGAAGAGTAACACTGTGAATAGCTTTTGTTACTTTGTTGTTATCTTCCTCCTATACTGAATAACAGCACCTCTCTGAGATTTGTGAGATCCCCTATTAAAAAAAAAAAAAAAAAAAAAAAAAAAAAAAGATTTGCAGTATAAGAAGGTTGAGTACTTTTGAAATTCTTCTGATGATTTTAGAAATATTCATTTTCTGGAAGAAACAAGTGAACAAAAACTCCACTCTGTTTTCTCTTGCACAGAAATTCAGTAACTGGAATGTGAGTGCTGTAAGCCAAGTGCCCCAAAAAGCATTTCTATCTCAGATCTCTGATCTTTAGCACCTGCAGCACTACCTGAATCACAGACTCAGGCTAGAAGGTATGCAGGAGCTAACTGGAACCTGCCCGACTACTTCCTTCATACCTTGCCAGGTGTGTCAATGTCTTCATTCCATTCACTGATCCTGCCAGGAACATTGCATATGGGCTTGCTGTGATACAGCACTGCCCCTGGTTATAACCACTACTGATTTTGGAGTTTCCTCAGACAAAAGATAATAAGATCTTAAATACATTCTGAGGAGTGATTTTCAAATTTGAAGTAAAAAGATGACCCCACAAAATTGTTGCATTTGTTTCTCTACAAATAAATACAGATAAACTACTCACAATGTACAAAACTTTGAATGTAAGTATTCTATATACAAACTCACTACTAACCTTTGTTGAGAGTACTATGCCCTAAGAGAGCAGGACACAGCTTTCCTTGTTGGTGATTAAATTTCTGAATTACTTCCCTTTGATCTGAATGCTTATATTAAATTATTGTTATTATTTTCATGCAGCACATTTTCTTGGTATTGTTTATTACACTGTGTATTTAAGGAGCATATCACTGTTCCATATACAGTAATACATTTGATATAAAAATCTTCACCTTCTCTTCCTCACTGCAGAAACAATATTATAAAAAGAAATGTAAGTACTGTACACAGGAAACTTGAAGCAGTGTTTCCAATAGGATACAGGCACAGACAATCCATTCAATATTCATTAGGTATCAGATGAAATCAGGTATTCATTTCAAGTAAAACAAGGACCCTCTGAAGAAAATGCAGAGGAGGAAAATCAGCACAGTATGTGACCTAGTAAAGTGTAAGTCTAAATATGGTGTCAAGCAAATGTGCTTAATCTCCATTACAGCAAAACAGGAAAAGAGCCTGATGAATTAAAAAGGTCATGTCAGTGGCTTTGAGACCTTTAAGGAGCAGGACATGCACTGAGGATCACAGTCTTCACCTTCTTTTGAAGAAAAGGTTATATGAAATGGGTAGATTTATACTAGGGAAGAGAGGAAACACATAGAAGCTTTGGAAGACAACAAATCTTAAAATATGTAAAAGAATGCCTCAGAAAACAAAAGAACAAGCTTATCCCCATGTCCACATCCATCAGAGAAGAGAACACGACTGCTTTTGGTCATCTAAGACCCTTCATGTTGCAAGGCACTGCCCACCCACATGCAACTTTTCCTCACTAAAGAACCCCTTTGTTTTCCAGACCAGTTCTCCAATTTGGCAAGTTCAGTTTCAGGTCTGAAAAGGTTTCCCAAAGGTTCCTTTTGCTAGATACATGTCAATATAATACTTAACGGGGTAGACTGTACTGATTTGGATGTTGTGTTATCTTTACCATAATAAACATTACAAATTACTCTCTGCAGGCACCTAGGCACAGTTAGTCATGCCATGTAGCAATGAATTACTCTGTGGGAAAAAATACAACAACTGGTTTGTACTTTTTCTGTCCTCTGTATTATAAAATCTAAGTATATCAATAGATTTCCTCTGTCATACTTATGTTTTTGCAAGTCACTTTAAATATTTTGTTTGGAACATAACTGTCTTACTGAAATAAAAACAGATTCCTGAAACTATTAGTAACAACAGTACTACATAAGTAAATAGCATAAGTTACCTGCTTGGTTTTTAAATATTTTTGATATGACGACAGGAACTTTGTGCTCAGCACCACCCTGTAAGAGAGAGATATTAACCATGAGATCTCAAGACTGAAGTGGTCATACTGAAATTCAAAAGAAAAAAAGAGATGTTACCCATACCTTTATGCTTAAGCCCAAGCCACCAACTGGTTGTCTACGAAGTGTAACAGTTCTGTGCTTTAAAAAATTGTAGAAAAAATAAATTTAGGTGAAAATACAATATCTGAATGAGCATAAAAGATTTTCCTAGGCTCTCATTTACTTAAAAAAATATTCCTAAAAGCAGTCTAGAATCAGTTATTATCAGAGTGATCAGTTCTGAAGTATCATTCAACATTGATTTATAGGCAACTAATTCCTTATCACAGAGAGCAGAACTTGTGAGTTGTGTATTCAGACTTTAGCATGCTTTTCTGTCTCTGAAGTGATATTTTTCCTGAACAGAAATTTGTACATACTTTTCCTTTGAAGAACTCAGATATGTGCATTTTCATAGCTATTGCGTATGCATACTTGTTCTAATTTTTCAACCAAAGATACCAGTGCTTTCTAGTCTACATCTTCAGATCTCTATATCTTTTTTGTAGCATATGCTGAAAAACTTTTAGTAATAGTCTACTTCAAATGCTTAATTTTTCTTTTCAGATTTAAGTGCATAAAGAAGATAAACCTTTATCAATATTTTTCTAAAGAAACCTATCATATGTTTAACAGTATGCTGAATTTGACGTTTCAATAATGTGTAACTCATGGTGCCTGACAACATAATAATAGCATTTAATCTGTTGACAATAATTATACAGTTGATGGGAACTTTTCTTGGAACATGCTGAACAGTAGTGGATAGAATGCCATCTTTACAGTAATTCCTGAACATGTAATATTTTTTTTCTTTCTCCGTGCATTAGAAATAGTATATAAGATTACTCCTATATGTATACTTTCTGTATAGGTGTGTTGTATTCCATTTTATTTAAATGGTATGCTCTGTCTCACCCCTCCGAAAGACATATGTTCATATTGGCTCAGGGGAAAACAAAACAAAACAAAACGTAACTGGAATTTCAGTCTCATTTTAGGTGGATAAAAATAATGCTTATGGTAAAAAAATTAGGAATTTTTTCATACATTTTCAAAATTGCTTCTGTTCCAATGAATACTGTACTACACTAGTCTGCACTAAAAATTGAAAACTGCTGCACTATGAACATGGCACCTGACATGTCAAAAGGTTTATATGATTCAATTTCAGCTAATACGATTCACTTTCTTTGAAATCCATGCCAATGCAAATTTTTTCATAGGTTTTTTATTAATTTGGAACTGCATCATAACTTTTGATCAAAATTATCACACTCGCTGAAAAAGTTCAGATCCGAACCGAATCAGAATACATCCCTAACTTTGAATTCACTCAGTGACTCACTCCCAAGAGATGCTTTCCAGGAATAATGACTGTCTGCTTACTTAATTCTTGTTTTACTCCACTTATACTCACACCTTGAAAATATATTATTCTAATATATCCCATCACAACGAGGAGACAATGGAATAAATGTTTTCACATTTTAGTTTGCTTTAGCACAATCACGCAAATAGAAAGCTGCTACATGAACAGCTTTAGAAGTTTTATTAAAAAGACAAGTAGGGTACTACTTATTGGCATTTTATATTTTCAAATAGAGTTAACATACATTTTTATATGCTTGATAGGCAGTCCTATGAAGCAAACTATTTGCATAACATTGGTATAATCTTGATATTTCTATTTAAATAGTTCATAGTATTGCTTATTACAGGTATTCAAATATTGCTATTAAAAGAAGATATTAAACTCATACTTAAATGATCCCTACATATCAGCTTACTAAAGGCTACTTTTAAAAGCTGCAAAAACTTTCTTCGTTTCAAGATGTTCAAATTGCAAAGTAAAATGCTAAAAGCTGAGCATGATTAAGTGCCATGATCAAGATCATTTACATAAATTTATTTCAAGTCTATGATAATATATAATTTGCTATGACTAGAAAAACAGCTTTCTTGCCCTGTTTGGCTTTTCTAAGGAAACATTAATAGCTGCTGTCAGAAAATGGACAGTCGGCTCAGTAGACCTCAGATCTGAATCAGTCCTGAATTTATTATGCAAGACAAAATTTCATGACTATGAAATTTGGACTGAAACCCACAGCAGCTTTGCAAGTAACTATGAAAAAAACCTCTACTCCAAAGCATCTTGCCAAAACTGAACTGCAATGTTTGTGGGGAAATAAACAAACCTATCTTTTTGTGACATTTATGTCATGCACATATGCAGCTGAAAACCCAATGTGTATGTCTCAGTCAAACAAACAACTTATTTCACTTTTTGGTTGCCTGCAGGCTAGATATAATTTTTCTTTCCAGATGTATTTATTTATGGTTTTAGAGCGAAGTGAGACAGACATTTGTATCAGTGTTAAAAAATAAAAAATAGAGTGCTATAGTAGACTGTGTAATTTTATTTCATTATAAGCAAGGAAAACTCTTTAGACAGTGTTACTAATAATAAGTCTGAACAGCAAAGCTGAAATTAACATTTTTTAAATTAACCTTTTTGCTTTTTAACTAGCATTTTGTTTTGTTCAATAGTATCTATGGTTTCTTGAAACTCTTTATTCTTATGGGTTCCAAAGCACCCAATGTGTACTCTGTAACAATCACTCATTACAGGTGTGCTACCAAGCAGAAGAGATTATGTACCCCCCCATGGCACAACAGGCTGTTTTGTTTCCTGTTTCTAGGAGATTACAGGACAAAGTAGTATCCCACATAAAACTTCAGAACACATTTGAATATACAGAACATAAGAAATAAAACTGTAATTCGCAGGATACCAATATGGAATATTCCTATATTTTGAGACCTTTTATTGTTGCAAGCTGTCAGCTGGTGAGGCAGAAAATTTCAGGAACTCCAAGAATGATGTCAGACAGGGAATATATTGAAAAGCAGATACAACATAAAATTTTACCCATATAAGATGCAGACACCATTCACAAGAGCATTATTTCAACAACTGTATAAAGAGACCACTTGGTAAAAAGTGCAGTGCTGCTTATATCAGCTAAAATGAATAATACAGCTGAAAAATTTGCTATACTTTCATTAGCTGCACACTGAATAACACTTTCAAATATAATGGGAAGAACTATATGGTCAAATACCCATCTTTTAGGTATGAGAGCTCTACACAGAAGACTTACTAGATTCTGTTAAAAAATGATGATAGAAATTTTATCTCTGGGAAGGTCTTTTGTCTCTTGTTATTTGCTCATATGAAGTGGCATGACTGGAGCTTAATGGGCAATATGAGAAGGCAACTGCAGTGCTTATTTCTGTTGCTCTGTTTTAGGAAGATTTTATATCCACCTATAGGCCAATGCCTACCTAATATGTCATTATTACCAGGTTGTTAATACCCAGGACTGGCACTTGTGGCAAAAGACCTCTCATCAGAAAAAGGTATTATATCTATCTATCTATCTATCTATCTATCTATCTATCTAAATTAATAATGTGCTATGGGGATTTCAGAAGAAGATTCTGCTTGAAGCACTCCAAAATCATTGATATAAAGAGACATTTTTGAAAAAAGACTCTGTAGGCACAATATTTTACTTTTCTGTTCCAGTCTGCACGAAAATATTAATGAATACATATATTATTTCCAAGCATCAAACTGAAGTACACAGCAGAAAAGGCTGGAGCACTTGACACAGTCTGTGTTCTTCAGGTTTTGTAGAAACTGTTCTAGGAAACAAGCCCATTCACAATGGCAAGGACAGGTTGGAAGAGACAGATCACCAACAATTTAATTTGTTCTTTTCCTTTCTACGTATCACTAAGACTACTGTGATGACTCCATCAGTGTCCTCCTGGACTGCCCTGTCCCCATAGAAAGGAGGTCAAGTGGGGAACCCTGTGCTGACTCGTGTCCTGTGTGGGCATCTTTCCTTCTGCAGGACCTGGACGCTGACAGCATTAAATTTGATGGGAGTAACTCTCTAGGGTAGGACACAGTTAAGAGCTGGGCAGAGCTGCCAATGTCACACCTCCTCGTGTTCCCAATAAGAGCCTTGGGGGTAACTAAGCTGAGCACTGCCCGAGTGTGACGGTGTCGCTTCCTCTCCATCTTTCGGCTTCACTGACCAATAGCATTACAAGGTTAAATTCCTGGTACGAACTCCACTTGTTAGCCTGAGTCTGTGCCCATGGGCTAAGAGTAGTTGGGCTCAGCCCTGCAGTTACCAAGGGGTGCTATGTGCCTTATACTGCTTCAGACAGAAATGGGCAAAAATGGGTCAACCAATTATTATCCACAGTAATGTCCATAACAATGGCCACATCAGCAAATCCCATGGAATGTAGGGGCACCAACAGGCTCAGTATCATGACACATCATCAAAATCACCAATTAAGACAAAAATCACTGGTCTTCACTCAAGGGGACTAGTCACCTTTACTTAACCCAGAAAAAGAACGTATGTAAATGATAAATTTTATGTTTGATATAATACAACATATATCAAATATATATATTTGATAAATAGCCATGACTAAATGTGCATGAGCCTATCTAGTCCCCACACTCAAACCACAACAGACTATGACCTTAATAGATAACAGATTAGTCCTTAAACATAAAAAGTTAAAAACAAGAAGATAGGAAAAAGTGAACAAAGAGAACAAGTGAACAAGTTTGGAAAAGGTGAACAAAGAGAACAAAGAAATAATTTCAGCATTGTTTACAGGATTTTTTAAAAAATAAATTTATTCCTACTTCTAAATTTGCAGCTGGTATTTATTGGAAGAAGTAGTCTCAGAAGATCTCCTTACTTGTTGAAAGCAAGATGTCAAATTAACTACAGATACTACAGGGCAGGTTTGCTATAAAAAAAAAATGCAGAGTTTGCCATCCAGGCCCTTGGGAAACATACAGGGGAAAGGAAAAAGCAAAACAAGTGCAATAATAAGACTTAAAAAAGAAGCCTGTAACCTGTCCACATGGATGCAGGAAGAAAGTCTGATAGCTGAAGGGATAAGAAGATAAATTTGTCCTGGTTTCACTTGGGATAGAGTTAGCTTTCTTCTCAAAACTTAACGTATCAGCCATATGTTCCTTTTCTTAGCAACTCTTG